ATGAATGAAATTACATCCTTCGTCTTGATTCCCTTTACAGCCTCCGCCTCCACCCATTTAGTGAAGTAGTCGACTGCAACAAGTATGTACCTCCTTCCGCCTGTCCATTGCATGATCAGAGACCTGCCGCCTTGTCCGTTGAGCAAGCGACCTTTCAGCAAGAAGAACAGCGCTTAACGCATGATCAGAGACGGCCAGGTACATGTAGAGTACTTCTTTGGGCAAAGGGCTGACCAGCCTCGGCAAGGAATGCAAGTGAACTTTCAATTTCTGGAAGGCCGCCTCAGCATCCGGCCCCCATTCAAACCTTGCCTTCTTCTTAATGGCTTGGAAGAAGTATAAGCATTTGTCGCCTGATCGGCTTAGAAATCTTCCCAAGGCCGCCAGACAACCTGTTAACTTCTGAACCTCTCGGACGGTACGAGGCGACTGCATGTCGATGACCAACTGCACCTTCTCAGGGTTCGCCTCTATTCCTCTCTGATTGATAAGGAATCCGAGAAATTTCCCAGACTCAACTTCAAATACACATTTCTTGGGATTGAGCATGACATGGTGCTGCCTGAGTGTGGCGAAAGTTTCTCGGAGGTCCGACAGATGATCTATCTGAAGCTTAGACTTGACAATCATATCATCAATGTATGCCTCGACGTTTCTCCCAATCTGATAAAAAAACACAGTGTTTATCATTCGCTAGAAGGTGGCCGGGGCATTCTAAAGACCGAACGGCATGACCGTGTAACAGTATAACCCTTGATCATTGACGAAGGTCGTCTTCTCCTAATCTTTCTTCCATAAAGGAATTTGATGGAAACCAGAGTAGGCGTCCATAAAGCTCATCAAAGCATGGCCGGCTGTTGAGTCGACCATGTTATCAATTTTAGGCAGAGGGTAACTGTCTTTGGGGCATGCCTTGTTTAAGTCTGTGTAGTCTACACACATTCGCCAGGTGCCATTCGGCTTTTTAACGAGCACCACATTTGCAACCCAGTCTGGGAAGTAACATTGCCGAATGAACCCTGCATCAAGTAATTTTTTAACTTCGACGGCTGCCGCCTGACTTCTTTCTTCGCCATGGTTCCGTTTCTTCTGCCTTACCGGCTTCTTTTTCGGATCCACAGCCAGTTTATGTACCGCCAGGTCAGGACTAATGTCTGGCATTTCGTGGACTTCGAATGCAAAGATGTCCTTGTATTCTTTTAATAGTTTGTGAAAATCGTCACCCAGGACTCTCAGAGCAGTCGTCCCAACTTTGACTGTTCGCTCAGGACGTGAGTCGTCTAAGATCGAGTCCGTATGCTCACCAGCCGGCTGAGGGCGGAATTCATCCGACCGCTCCTCTGCCAATGATTGCTATTTTCTGTCTTTTCTTGCGGCCCCCGTCTGGCTGCCTTTCTCTTCTTGCCGCCTGCTTCTTGAACAGGCGCACTCTCCTTGTCATTGTCAAGGTCTGTTTTTCCACCACTTGACCCAGCGGCCATGACAGTGGGCTTGATATCCGAGAGATAGCACTCTCGGGCCATCCTCTGATCTCTCCTTAGGGACCCGACTGTTCCATTATCCCTCTCAAACTTGAGCAACATAAGAGATGGGATTATAACAACCTTGGAATTATTCAGGGTTGGTTGTCCCAGAATCATGTTGTAGGCCGAGAGTTCTTCTACTACCAGGAACCGGACTACCATGTGTCGTCCTTCCCCTTTTTCACCCAGGCGGATGGGTAAATCCACTCGTCCCATTGGGTGGACGACTCCTCCTCCAAACCCTACTAAAGGGTGGGATGCCGGATGTATGCAATCAGTCTGATATTTTAGTTTTGACAGACATTTGCTACTGATAAGATCTGAAGAGCTTCCAGTATCTATAAGGATTCGGCCGACTCTCTGGTTGGCCACTTTACATTCAATAACGATAGGGTCGTCATGCGACCCCCTTACCCCTCCTAGATCTTCTTCAGTGATGACAATCTCAGGAAATGAATATTTGGGGGGCCGTTGTTGGTGAACGGAATTTACATCTAGCCGCCTGATATTGTCTTTGTTGCCCCTAATAGTGGGACCGCCTCCTGCGAAACCGCCTGCAATGGTGTAGACGACTGCATCATCTGTATTAGAGTTGTCGGCCTGTTGACTCTTTTTGGCCGACTGCTTTTTCGAGGAAGTGTTCCCAGTAGATTTCTTGACATAAGAGTCAAGATCGCCTTGCTCGGCCAGGCGGTCCAGATACCGCATGAGACTGATGCATTCGTTGGTGTGATGACCAACATCTTCATGATAATCACAGAATTTTTCTTGGTTCCGGTTGCTTGCAGAACCCTTCATGGGGACCGGCTTCTCAATTGAGATCCGTCCCTTGATTTCCTTTAGGATAGCTTGGCTATCCTTGTTAAACGCATACTTTGGGGAGTATGGTTTGAATTCTTTTTTCTTCTTCTGGGCCGGCTGTTTAGAGGAATCAGCCGCCCAGACCTCTTTTCTTTTCTTTTCATCTTTGTTCGACAACTGTTTCTGTCGCCCTTCTTTTTTGTCGAACCTTTTCCCGTCCGACTGTTTTGTACTACAAAAGATCAGTCGCCTGTATATAGGCTTCCGCTTCAATTAAGGCCTCTTGAAGAGTCGCCACCCTCTTTCGGACCAAATCAAATTTGAATGTCGATCCGTCTTTGAGGCCTCTGAAAAAGTCAGTATAGGCTACCTCATCCGGTAACCCTTGAATCTGTATTCTCATCAGGTTAAACCGCCTGATGTAAGAACGAAGCCCCTCCTTCTCGCCCTGCTGAATCGTTCCTAAATCAAGGGTCGTCTTTTTCGCAGGTATGTTCATGGCAAAGTTGGAGGTGAATAAGTAAGCAAGCGTCCTGAAGTTATTCACACAACCAGTCGGCAGTTTGCCGAACCATTGTTGTGCGATTCCTTTGAGATTCGCTGGGAAACACTTGCACCAAGTGGGATCATCCAACCCTTGAAGGTACATCAGGTTGGTGAATGCCATCAAATGGTCTTCTGGGTTAGTAGTGCCGTCATAGGCGCCTACTAATACATTTTTTACTTTGGCCGGCTGAGCGGCTTCAGCAATTTCCTTGGAGAAGGCCGACGGCTGTTCCCCAAGTCTAAGCAACCGTAGCTGCCAGTCCATAGGTTGGACATTATTTGCTGCATGCCCACCAAACAGAGGTGGCTGCAAAAAATATTGTTGTTGCGGTACAAATGGTAAGTTTGGTACCGCCTGGTCACTATGAAAGCCGGACTGACGGGAGGTGCCGCCTGACTGACTCTCATGATACGACTGAGTATACTTCATCGAGGTATTGCGTAGACTGTCTTGGAAATCTGAAGTAGAGGCCGACTCTGACAATCGGTCATTCTTCTTCTGTTCTAGCAATAACCGAGCATCTGTGTATGTTTTCTTCGACCCGTTCGCCTGAATATGACGAACAGGTTTCCTCTTTCCTGGAGTAGGAAAGCGGTACTTTGTGAAATCAAGGGCAGACGGCTCCCACTTCCTAGAGTTAGGATGAGGGGTCGCCTCTCGCCCTTGAACTGGCTTCCTCTTCCCTGAAGTGGAAGGTTTCTTAGCCGACTGCTCCTTGGCCAGAGCAGGCTTCTTGTTGAGCAACTCTTGAATCTCTCCCTTGAAGCCCCTCATGAAGGTCATGAGTTCGTTTCTTGTAATGGGAGCATACCCATCAGCCGGCTGCTGCTGAACAGACGGTGCGCCGGCTGGATCACTGAGTCCAGTTTGAAGATGTTCTTGTTCCCTCCTTTCGGTATGACGGGTGCGTCGGGCCCTTAGGGTCCCGTCTGAAGCTGTGTGAGCTTCAACTTCAAATTCTTCCTCAGTATCATGGTCCGACTGAACTTGAGGGTCGTCTAGGGGACGCCTCTCTTCAGGAGTCGGTACAGACGTGGATGCCATCTCAGAAGTACTCTCCCCATAGACGGCGCCAAAATGTTTCGGGGTTTTCTGATGTCCTGCGGGAGAGTTACAATTCCGAGACTGGAACCGGACGCCTGTACCTGCAAAACAAACGGATGCTCCGGATGATTGGAGATCCGCCTCCGACAGTCAAGTTAGTACTTGATTAAGGAGTAATTAATGCGGAAATAAAGGTGATTGGGTCTCTCTAGGTGAGAGTGTTTAATGTGCATAATCCCCCTTAATGAGGATTAAGGGAGGTATTTATAACCTTGGGAAACGTGTCAATTCTAGGTTTAGGTTAACCTAGGGCTGATTGGGCTTCCCTTGGAAGTTGGGCCTAGGTGGCCGGTTTCTCCATTAGGCATGGAGGATGCCACGTGTCATGACATAATAGGTCCGGGGTGGACGAATAGGCGTGTGCCACGTGGCAAACCCTGACAGTTCCAACTGGGGGACACTTGGCAGGACCTGATTGGCCCACATGGCGCATTCCGATTGGTGGGAGCAAAATCCCCTAATCACTTGTAACTATTTTAGTTAGCAGAATTCTTATTGCACAGCAGTAAAATTGCAAAAGAGCAAACACAATTAACATTTCCCTGAACGCTAAAACATCGAAAGATGAGTAGCACAGCCCGTACAGTTGCTTATTAACTAAATCGTCATCCCAAATATTTTTCCTTTCATGTGCATAACAAAAAGCTACTTGCCTCTCGATCAGACAAGTTAGGAAAGAGTCTTCATATCTGAAAACTTTCACCAGATCTTACAGCATCACTGTATGAAGTCTAATAAACACAAAATATCACCTATTTGAAACTAAATCAAGATAACTGATAACCCAACGAAATTCTCACAGTATTTTAGGGTGGTCGAACAGGTGGGTAGTATTTTTACTTGCACGCAATGAAAAATGAACATATTCAGCAATTCAATCTCCAAATCAACATTCAACTGCACTGCTTTTCAAATTATGAAACCAAAATCGTAATTCATAATTTTAAAGGAAATTTCAGTGATGCAAATCATGCAATGTCAAATGTACTACTACGTAATAAACAATAGTAGTGCTTGAGATGTACCTGCAAAAGACTTTGCTGCCTCCTTTGAGACTATAACCAAAAGAGAACAAAGTTCTTTCACGTCCTGCGGTTGAATGACACCAACTAGCGGAGACCTTAGGACACACAAAAGCATAAATGAGCAACCTGTAGTTCTTCAAATAGAAGGCTGGAAATTGCACAAAGTGACAATGCACGGAGCATTGCTGCAACAGCGCACTGCATCAGGAATACCTATATGTGATTTTTGAAGCAGCTTGGGAACTGGTCCCACGAGTAGTAGGTGGTTCGGATGGAAGAGTTGGAGGGACAGATTTCACATGATTTCCCTGAAAGAAAGAGAAGAAAGTACATTTTAATCACAAAGACAGGTAAAAAAAAAAAGAAAATGTATCAAAAAGGCATCCTGATGCCTAATCTGTGGTTGAAATGCATGTGAAATGCATCTGTTTAGGTCAAAAAAATGACATGCTTAGACATACTAATGTTGAGACTGTCAATCATATGCATAAAATCAATTTTCTGATTTGTATTAACTATAATAAATGAGTCATTTAGAGAACACAAGCAAAAGTATGTCAAACAATCCTTCAATTTAAACTGTATTTTTTTTTTCCCTGTACATTAAAGAACTAGCAGGTAAAATTTTAAAATTATTAGGCCAACTACATTAGCATGGTGACAATGGTAAGGATACCTGCGTATAATGTGCATTACGATAAAAAGGCTGATTATTATACATGCCAATGAAGAGTTCTTGACTTCTCCTCTATCTTGATCCTGGAGAGTTACCATAGCCAAATGGCCCTTTAAGTTATTTTTCAATATGTCAATATAAAATAACAAAAGGACAAAACCAATAATTAGATCCAGTAAAAAATTGAGACTGCATCTCTAAAAAGCAAAATATTCATGATAACACACCTGAGCAACAGATACGAAAACGTTGCATAAACAGATATCTAATCAATGATAATAACCACAAGGATTTCAAAATTTACCAGAACAATCTTTGAACTAATTCCAATAGAGGTTCCTACGATTATATATCCACAACAACATTTATATATTTAATATCCATTAAAACCTCACTCGTGAAAATTCTTATCCCTTGAGACACAGAAAACACAATAAAACCAGAATAAATTAATCCACAATAATTCTTTGACTTTGTCTTCAGAGAGCACACCTTATTCATTCGGGATCCATGCGGACTACTTGCAATCTTAGGTCTGAATGCATTAGGATTGCGCTCCAGGGTTGCTCCAATTGCTTCTTGCCTTGCAGGCTCATGATCCACATTATTGTGACAATTTATGCAGTTGCATCCATCACAATAAATCCCAGAGGCAAAGCATTCACAGTACCTAAACACACATTTTAGTATGTGATATGTTTTAATAGTTCTACAAAAACATACATGCTACACCCTTAATATTAAGTTTTGTTATAATCTAAGAATTTGCGAACCCTAAGCTTAAAGCACTGATAATTAAATTAGATTAGATCAAATATAAACCCTAGATTGTGAAATTGATGTGATGATAACAACAACAAACAACTTACCTTAGAAGCTGCTTCAATGGGGATACAAGAATTAGATTCAACGGAGAACGCTTCAATGGAGAACATTGAGTGCGCTTCAATGAAATAACTCAGAGACTTAGGAAATAGGAATGGAGGCCTTTAATGGAGAAGGAGATCGAAGGAGAGAGACGGAGTGTTAGGAAAGCTCATAAGCCCCCTTCGATGGAGAAATTCGAGTACGCTACAATGGAGGAGAGAGAGAGGCAGATCAGATGAGAACGAAGAGGAAAGAGCAAGGAAATGAAGAAAAAGACGCGCCTTAAACCGGGTTTTTTTTTAAATGGCACCGGTTCAAACCGGTGCTAATTACTATAGTTGGCACCGGTTTAAGGCGAACCGGTGCCAACTCTATTGCTTTCTTTGTTTTGTTTTTTTTTTAAAGGTTGACACCGGTTTGAACCGGTGCTAATTAAATGAGTTGGCACCGGTTTTGGTTGGAACCAGTGCCAACTTCCTATTTTCCAATCCCGCCCATTTCTTTTGGCACCGGTTTTCAAGAACCGGTGCTAAAGGGGGGGTGCCTATTTGATTTTTTCTACTAGTGATAATTCATACTAATATAGCAAGTACAATGGATGTTGTTTCGGGGTTTTTGGAGTCCCTCTGGATAGTTACAATTCCAAGATTGGATGTCGACCGTCTGTACCTGCAAAACCACGAAAACTCCGATTGGGTGGAGTTCCGCCTCCGACGGTGAAGTTAGTATGTGTACGGACGGAGTTAAAAGTGCGAAATGTAAAGAGTTTCTCTCGAATTCCGAGAGAGAATATCTGCAATTAATATTGCTCTAGTTTGTGTGTATTTTTCTGATTGAATGCAATAAATGGGGATATCTCCCTATTTATAGGGTTTGGGGATCAGCTCCCCTTCTTGGGTTATGGATCCCAAAGACTGGTGGGCCGATCTTTTGGATTGGGCTAGGAAGGCCATCTTCCCCTTTCATGACTTGGGCTGCCACGTGTCAACAGAGGATTGGTTCTTTCAGAACCTCTATGAGGGTGACACGTGTCACCATGCAATTGGTCCACGTGGACCGGGGTATTTTTACCCTGAACATTTGCCCCTCACAGGTGTGACGTGGCAAGCCACATGGCACCTGTGACAGGTGTCACATGTTGGTTAAGTGACGGTTCGTCTATCTTTTTTTTTTTTTTTTTTAGAATTTGAGGCGACGGTTTGCCTTCCGGGGGAGTTCCTATAAATAAGATCTCCCCCCTTCCTTCTCCTCATTTTACATTCTTTGAGAAAATTTCAGAGAGAGGAAAAGTAAAGCTCTAAGACCGGCTGCCATCATCTTTATAACCTCTTGCTACTTCCTGACTCAACCGGTTTTCGCCTGTGCTAACATCGCTCAAGGCGCATCAAAACCATCTGAGCATACTTCAGCTGATTCCCCTGCTTTCAAATCACCTACAGCCGGTCAGCCGTTTGTGATGTCATCAAGCAGAGCTTCAAAGCACCGCTTGGGTACATCCTCAACAAGTTTCCCTTGCTTTCCAAGTGGGTACATCCGAGCAACCGTTTGGGTATCTAGCAAGCAATTTGACTTTTTTCGCCTGCCAATTTAGCCGGTCTACGCCTTTCTCCATTTTAAAGCACCTTCAAGGTACCGTCTCTATCATGTGCAACTCTTTTGAGCTTTTCCGGTTGTATACTTTGTAAAGAATAATGGACTCACCCAACACACACACGGCACGGCCTAGGACAGTTGTCAGCCGGTCTCCTGATACGGCTGTACGTGTCTAGGACTGGGGATGCCGTCTGGGGGTGTTTGGACCACCCTTTCTCTTCCACGAATCCGACCGTCTCTGTGCATGTGCAGGACATGATGGCTCGGACGAAGCGGACGACTGTTGACCCCGACTACAGATCAGACGGCTCAGCTGAGTCACCCAGTGATAACATTTTGGAGGAGTCTGAGGATGTAGACGGCGATGAGACCGTCCAACAATCTGACTCTGAGGAGTCAACTTCGTTACAAGCGGATGCCTTCCAGGAGGATGAGGAGGCGTATAAATGGCCATCTATCACCAATCCTAGCCGGATGGGTAGGTCAATCCTCCCCACCTGATGCACTACCCCACCCCCAAAACCAACTAAGGAGTGAGAGACTTTGTGCATGCTGCTAGGCTTGTACTTGAGCTTTGCCAAGCACCTGTAGCTGATAAGATTAGACGAGCTCCCGGTGTCAATCAGGATACGGCCCACTCGTTGATTAGCGACCTTACACTCGATGACTATGGGGTCATCATGTGGCCGCCTGACCTTGCCCCTGTCCTTCTCAGAGATGATCACCTCAGGGAAGGTGTCTTTCGATGCCCGACCCTCATCAACTGAATTGACATCGAGCTTTCTGATGTAGTCCTTAGTGCCCTGGATGATAAGACCCCCTCTAGAAAAAACCGCCTGCTATAGTATAAATCTGCTCTTCATCAATGTCTGAGCTTATAGCAAGCTGGTCAGGCTTTTTGGACGGCTGTCCACTATTTGTTCTAATGGTCACCTTAGACTTCAGAATGTAGGACTTCAACACTCCTTTGTCATCGAGACGGTCAACCAACCGCTTGAGGCTATACTATAGCAGTCATTGGTGTATGGCCTATATCCTCATGAAAATGACAGTATTTGTTTTTGTTTTGACTTTTGGCGGAACCTTTCATTACAGCCGGTTTCTCAATAGGCACCCGGTCTTTGATCTCCATGAGGATGGAGTAGCAGTCCTTGTTAAACTCGTACTTAGGGACTTACGTTTTTAACTTTTTATTCTTCTTCTGGGATGGTGGACAACTTCCTTTCTTTTCTTGCTCTCTTCCTTTTTAGCCGGCTAAGCAGACCAACTCTCTTTTTTGTTGGACTTTTTAGGGTCCGACGGCTGCTTGATGACACAGAGCTCAGTCGCTTGTATATAGGCTTCTGCCTCCATCAGCGCCTCTTAGGGGGTAACAACCCTCTTCCTGACGAGGTCGAACTTAAAGGTCGACCCGTCCTTCAGACCTTTGAAAACGTCTGCGTAGGCCACTTCGTCTGATAGCCCTTGAATCTGAATTCTCATCAGATTAAACCGCCTGACATAGGACCTTATCCCTTCTCTGTCTCCCTGCTGTATAGCCCCAAAGTCGAGACTTGTCTTTTTGGCAGGGATGTTCATAGAGAAGTTGGAAGCAAACAAGTACGCAAGCGTCTTGAAGTTGTTGATGCAACCGACTAACAGGTTACCAAACCACCGTTGGGTTATGCCCTTCAATGTTGTCGGAAAGCATCGACACCACGTGGCATCATCCAACCCCTGTAAGTACATGAGGTTGGTGTACGTCATTAGGTGGTCCTTTCGGTTGGTGGTACCATCGTAAGTACTTATCAACACATTCTTAACCTTGGCCGACTGTGCCGCCTCGATTATCTCCTTGGAGAACGCAGAAGGTTGTTCCCCAAGTTTTAGCAGACGGAGCTGCCAGTCCATTGGCTAGACATTTTGTGCCACCTGACCCCCAAAGAGGGCTGGCTGCATGTATGGCTGTTGGGGCACATACGGAGCCGAGTGGATAATCTGAGGGCCGGTACGGACGGACATACCGCCTGATTGATCCTCTCGGTTAGAATGTGAATACCCCATTGAGGTAATCTAGAAGCTGTCTGAGTAGGTCAACGTCGAAGCCGACTCAGACAGCTGTTGACTTCTCTTCTGCTGGATCAGCATCTGAGCGTCTGAGTAAGTCTTTTTTTTATCCATCCGGCTGAACTTGCCGGATGACCTTCCTTTTCCCTGCTTCACGGAATCGGTATTTTGATAAATCAACCATGGGCCAGTCCACCCCCTTTGGTTTAGGGTGAGGAGTGGGCACACAGTCCTTCACATGCTTTTTCCCTGAGGGAGAAGGCTTCTTGGCCGACTGACCCTTGTTGGTGCCAGTTGTCTTCTTATTTATAAGGTCCTTTATCTCTCCTTTGAAACTCGTTATGAATTTCATGAGTTCGTCTCTGGTAACGGGGGCAGCACCCTCCGTCGCCTGGGGTTGCCCAGCCGGCTTGCCGGTTGGGTTGCTTGGACCAGCTATGTCATTGCCCCGCTCCCTTGTTTCCTTGGGACGGGTGCGTCTTGTTCTGAGTGACCCGTTTGGGGCCACATAGGTTTCGACCTCAAAGTCGCCACCACTATCTTGGTCCGTGTGGACCTCAACTTCAGCCATAGGCCGTTTCTCATTAACAGGCGGTACAAATTCGTGGGATGTCATTCTGGAAGTACTCTCCCCACAGACGCGGCAAATGTTTCGGGGTTTTTGGAGTCCCTCAAGAGAGTTACAATTCCAAGATTGGATACCGATTGTTTGTACTTGCAAAACCACGAAAACTCCAATTGGGTGGAGTTCCGCCTCTGACGATCAAGTTGTTGTCATGAAATTTCAAATAACACTATTAAGATAGTGTTACAATTAGTCTTTGTGTGGTGGATCAAGTACTAACATTTTCTCTTCTAAGCTTTTGTTAGATTTGTTTGTCCTATCGTGATAGATTTCTTTGAATGTAGCTCCAAAATAGAAGATTTTTGATAGCTTTGTCTTAATTTGATCTACTTCTTTGTCATTATGTTATTTATGGGTATTCCCAAAAGACAAAGATGTTTTCGTCATTAACAATAAGCCATGATAATGATTACATAATACTCGTAGTGAAATAAGGAGAAGATTAGGAGTTATGTTCAATTTACTTAATGTAAACATCTTAGAGTGTAATTAAATAACACGAAAAAAAAAGGGAAGCATACAAAGTCATAAGAAAACAAATTAAATCGAATTGATTCATGAAAATACAATCATTTCAACTTAAATAATATTTGAAAAAATAAATTCTCGTTATTTGTATAATCGTCTATTAAAAATATGCAGCTCATATACGCATTTATTATTACAACTCGTGAAATATGTCGTTGGAGGTTCGATCAATGATAATATGATTAACACTTAATCAAGTTTGAAGGGTGATTAGCTTATGTCCATAATTGAAAAGGGAGAAAATTAGATGGTGGCAAGTATGTGAAACGTTCACATTAGAAACTTCTTAAATAGTTTGAAAGTTGTTGTATCCCTCTTAAATCATAACACACACGTCTGTGATATTAAGAAATGTTCTTCCTCAGCTTTATTTGAGGTGATTAACACTCGTATTATTCAAATCCGAGTAATTAACTAATCATCGTTTGTCATAGCCAGCAAATAATTCTACTCTTATCAATTTTATAATCTTACGTGTAGTGTATTGAATTAACATAAACTAAAATTAATTTGTTCTTCCCATGAAATAATTATAAAGTCAGATACTTTTCTTTTTTAATTAATGGAATATGGAGTATTTATCAATTATATTTTTGCCGAGGGATGAGTGGTGGGCTGGTGGCGACATATATTATGTCGATATTTGTCAGAGGAGTTGCCCTTAATTTGCCACATGTCCACTGATAATATGGGTGACATCTGACATATACTTGATGCCCCATGCCTTTGGAGCAAAAATAAATAATCCAACTAAAATAAATTATTGGATCAAGACAATATCTCGGGTTATTGTATGTGATAGAGTATAAACATAATTTTGGAGTTCAAGTCTTCAACCACCAGTTTAAACTTTTAGTTGAGATAATCCTTTAACATGGTATTGAAGTCATCATAATATAAAGATCACGGGTTCGAATCTCATTCTACGTTATAAATTCTTATTGCAACAATTATTTTATTTTGTCTATCAATAATTCGGGTTCAATTTCTTTCTAGTATAATTTCTCCATTACCTTTATTTATATATAAAAAGAATGATACATCGATTTTAAACTTCTTAAAAGTCAATCCGACTTAAGTTAGTGGATTAGACACTATGAGTGAAATGAAAATACAATTCCTCCATCATTAGTCATAACCATTTTACACTATTACAGTAAAAGAAAATTTAGCATACATAAAAAAAAAAAAAAAAGGGATTAATATTGTTTTTTTAATCCCAACTTTCACCAATTTATTTTCATTAATCCCAACTCTGGATTATTCCTCAATAATAATCCCAACTTTAAGGTGGCTTATCATTCTTCAATCCCAAAAACCGGTGACCAGTTGAATGGGTCAAAAAAAAATTTAAGAAAATTATTTGACACGTGTCACATGTTAATTGCTTTAAAAAATATAAAAAACAAAAAAAAAACCAAAATTAAAAAAAAAAAAACCACCCAGCCAAAACCCCAACCACCCTAAAAGATCCGGTACCCCGCCAGCCCAGCCTCATCGGACCGCCGGCCCTCCCTACCACTAGAGTCGTCGCTCCGAGCCAAACCACCATCCCTCTTCACCGAAACTCCCACGCCACCAACCAAACCCCAAAAACCACCAGCCCCACTCCGAAAACCCCAAAAACCAGCAGCCCCACCCTCGAAAATCCCTCAAAGCCACCAGTCCCACTCGAAAATCCCCAAAAACCACATGAAACATACGCTAAACATCTCGAAACCCAAAAATCGGTCATAGAATGGGGCCTTTCGATAAGGTGGATGGGTATTTTCTGGAATTTGAGGGGTTTGGGTGTTCGATTGGGTGGTCGGAAGTCATGGAGGAGAAAGTGAAGGGAAGAGGAAAGGGGATTTCAGGTGGGTTTCGGGTAGGGATTTCAAGGAGAAGTGGAAGGGCGGCCGGAAACGGAGGGGGAGGAGGGTTGCTAGAAGTGGAGGGGATGGGGGGACTGCCGGAAATGGAGGGGAGGTGGCTGGCTGGCTGCCATTAATGGAGGTGGAGGGGGAGGGGCTCTTAAAGGTGAAGGGGGAAATAAAAAAATTACTTTTTTTTGTTAAAAATATAATGAAAAATAAAAGGAATTTTTTTTTTGTTTTATTATTTTTTTTTTAAAATTTGGTTCAGTAAAAAAAAATATAAAATAAAAAATTGGACCACTCACGTGGCAGAACGTGTCCAGCAACCTAGAATAGAGAATTGTTGACTGGTTTGGGTATGAAGAATGATAGGTCACCTTAAAGTTGGGACTATTGAGGAATAATCCAAAGTTGGAGTTAATGAAAATAAATTGGTGAAAGTTGAGATTAAAAAACAGTATTAATAAAAAAAAAAAAAATTAAAATTGAGCAACCGGAGCAGCGGGAAAACGTAACGAAGCCGTGTTAATGATAACTGCTATATTTAACGGTCAACACAATCAGTTTTATTAAATTTCAGATAAGGACAACACTCACTATTATTTCTTTAATTTCCAACTTTCATTTATTTATTTTCTCACCAATCAAAAATCAAATCAAATAAGATACAAAGACATACAACTTTAAAATCTCCCTTCTTTCCCACTTTCTTACCTCCATAAATCTCCATTTTTTCGATTTAAACCCTTCAAATACATACATTTCTTCATTCATTTCTCAATTATATCTGATCCTTTTCACAAATTATTATATTTTTTCACAATTAATAATAATTATTATTTGGAGAAAATTAAGAAATAAAATAAAATAAAAATGGGGAGTAGTAGTACCCATCATAATTACAAGATGTTTATGTGTTTCAATAGAAAGTTTAAGATCAATGATATTCAACCACCATTTGATCTTGTTGAAGCTTTTACAATCTACTCTCAAAAAGGGACCCACATGAATGCGACGCAACTCCACCGTTTTCTGGTGGATTTTCAGGCGGAGGATACGACGGAGGCCGACGCTACTCGTCTTCTCGACGACATTCTACGACGGCGACGACATCTTAGCAAGTTTACGCGCCAAGGGTTGACTCTTGATGATTTCTTTTTTTTCCTCTTTTCTGATGATCTTAATTCTCCTCTTAATTCCCAGGTAATTTTGCCTTGTTTTTTATTTATTGATGATTGATTGGATTGGATTATTAAAGAATTTTATAAAGTGGATATTTGCTCATTCGGGTTGGTAATTTGGTATTTGTTTATTCGGGTGTAAAGAGAGTCGCAAAGGGTAAATGATGTAGGCGGTATTATTTGATTAGGGTAATTTGTGAATGGAAAAGGTTTTTTTTTTTTTTGATGGGATTGATTTTAGTGTGGGTTTTGGAAAAGGGGAACAGAATATGTTTGTTGTATTCTTTTTGAGGAAATGTCAACTGATCATCAGTTGTCTGTATGTTAAAATGTGATTGGAAAGGTGAATTAGGACTTTGGTGGAGATTTGGATGATAATTTGTGTGTAAAGGTGGTAACTTTTGACTGAAGGATGAATTTTATGATTGGAGGTTTTGTGGGGAAATGTATGTGGGGTTATTTATGGTTAAAAATTGGCAGTAATTCTGGTACGTAATGAAATAGTTTGTAATTAGATAATTTTGACTTTGGGGAAGATTACTATATATGATTTGGAGTTTTGTAGGAGAAATGGCCCAAATGGGTGGGAAGGTATTTATGGTTGAAATCAGAATCCATTTTGGTTATGCTGTCAATGCTAGCTTCAATATCACGAGGCGAAAGCTAGGTGCTTGGAATCTGTTGTTCTTGATTCGGGCTGTTGTAGATGCTTTTGTTGCTTCTTTTCAGGGTTCTGAGTTTAATTTTGAGGTATCGAAAGCAAATTGGGTTGTTCTGATAGAAATAGACTTGGTAGTTTGTTGTATTGAGGAAGTGTAGGTCTTACTTTGACAGTACATTGAGTCAATTTTCGGGACTTTTCAGATTGGAGGAATATCTCTGTGAATATAGTATATACCTGACCATACTTACTGGAATTACTGCTGAAGTTGTAACTTTTAAGCATTTGAAACTGGATTTTATTTGTAACTAAAAAGGTGTGTTATGGACCCTTACACACTTAAGTAGACAATATTAAGTACTGTATTAAGAAATCTGAATTTCCTGAGCTCCTGCGGGGAACATGTAGTCTTCTCTTGACATAATGCATATGTTTATTGTTATTTTTTCACAGGTGCATCATGACATGACTGCTCCAATGCAACATTACTTCATATTCACGGGTCATAATTCTTACTTAACGGGGAATCAACTCAGCAGTGACTGCAGTGATGTACCAATAATTAAGGCATTGCAGAGAGGAGTCAGAGTGATTGAACTTGATATTTGGCCTAATTCAGCAAAAGACGATATCAATGTTCTTCATGGAAGGTGTGTGAACTTCTTTGAGTCCTATCTCTGAATGTGTACACCTTACTTGTGTCTCTTTAGACCTTTTTAGATCTTAACATCTGAATTTTCTTTTCATTTGTAGGACCTTTACAACTCCAGTGTCGCTCATTAAATGTTTGAAGTCTATAAAAGAACATGCTTTTGCAGCATCTTCATATCCCTTGATAATAACATTAGAAGACCACCTTACTCCCGACCTTCAAGCTAAAGTTGCAAAGGTAGTTTTCCATGAACTCTATTTTTTTTTTTTTACCCCCTGCATCAAACTATGTCTTCTGTGCCTTTTGTTTTTCTTTTATCTTGTGACATATTAGTTGTTCCTCTAGATGGTGACTGAAATATTTGGGGAGATGCTGTACTGTCCGGAGTGTCAACACTTAGAACATTTTCCTTCACCAGAAGAGTTGAAGTTCAGAATACTTCTTTCAACTAAACCACCAAAAGAATACCTTGAGGCCAAACAAAGCAAAGATAAGGGGAACGCCTCACCAGCTTCATCTGGAGATGATACACAACCCAATAGTACCCAGGGTGATAGTGAAAGTGATCAAGATGATGAAGACAGTGATGCTGCGTCTGATGGTAAATCTGGTCAGTTGGTTGCACCACAGTACAAGCGTCTGATTGCTATTCATGCGGGTAAACCAAAGAATGGCTTGAGAGAAGCACTTAGAACTGGTTTAGATAAAGTTAAACGTCTTAGTTTGAGTGAACAGGCTCTTGAAAGGGCAGCATTAAATTATGGACCTGATGTTGTGAGGTGAGTGGGTATTGTCTTGATGTACACTGCTCTCTCACAGCAGCAATTTCTGCTGCATTATTTCTGTGAGACTCACTGATAGCCATTTTTGCTGCTTCAAAATTGTAGGTTCACGCAGAGAAACTTTCTTAGGATTTATCCCAAGGGAACACGTATTAGATCTTCAAACTATGAGCCATTGGTTGGATGGATGCATGGGGCTCAAATGGTTGCTTTTAATATGCAGGTAGCTTTGATTACTGTCTCTGAGCTATTGAATTTATGATGCCTTTTTTTTTTTATAAAAAAAGGTCTTTTATCTTTTTTTTTTTCCTGTTTGTGGCAAACAAGTTTACCTTGCTATTAAGCTAGTTTGATTATTTTTGCCGATTTAGAATGTGTTTTGTGTGTGTGCTCAAACTTAGGAAATAAAAGCATGTTTCTGTATGCTTTATCCTAGCATTGATCTCTGCTTGGTAACTTTGATTCAATGTCCTTTTATGTTCTATATCTGATTTGATGTTCAGTTTTTTTATTGTTCTCATAGATATGATGATTTTTTCTTGGTTTTCTATCTTTTATCTGATGGAGCCAATGGATTTTTTATTCTTTTGAAATGCAGGGATATGGTAAATCTCTTTGGTTAATGCAAGGGATGTTTCGATCTAATGGTGGCTGTGGTTTTGTCAAAAAGCCTGATTTTCTGATGAAAAAAGGTCCAAATGGTGAGGTATTTGATCCAAAGGCCCCGTTAGAAGTGAAGAAGACCTTGAAGGTCAGCTGATAAATTATCATTTTAATTTATGGTTCTGGCTGAGCTACTACTGTTCTTCAGCTGAACTCTGCATGACACTTGCAGGTTAGGGCATACTTGGGCGATGGATGGCGCTTGGATTTTAGCAAAACTCACTTCGATACTTTTTCTCCACCAGATTTCTATGTGAAGGTTAGTCCACTTAATTTCCATGGCCTGTATTCTTGAAGTCTATTATAGTATAGTTTTTAGTTTGAGTACAATGAATTGATTTTGCCTAACTTCAATTCTCTTGTTACTGATATGTCCTGTTTTGGTCTTTAGCAGTCTGGATGAAAAAAGTAATATGATGATTAATTGCTAATTACTGATCTGTTCAGAGGTCTTATTTATAGCAGAAGCTACTAACTTGAATATGTCCTAGGCTGATACATAATTCACTAGTAGAGCTACAACATACAACATATTTTGCATTCAAATATTGGTAGCTATAAAGTACATTTATATAATGGAAATTGTTTTAGAAGGATATTATAAATGCAAAATCGAATTTGAGGGGGGGGGGGGGGGGTGGTCATATAATACCCCTCTTGAGGGCGATTTGATTAAAATCCTGTAATGTTGATTCTTTGAAGGCTACACCAACCTAAAAGGCATACTTTATCTTGATACTTTTATTTGTGTCATGTTGCCCGAAGAAGTCAGATCTCAAGCTGATTGGCAGATTTTTATTTATTATGTGAGCAGTTTCGCATACTAGGAGTTCCAGCAGATTATGCCAAACTAAAAACGAAAGTCATAGAAGATGATTGGGCACCTGTGTGGGATCAGGAGTTCACATTTCCATTAACCGTCCCAGAGTTGGCTCTGCTTCAAATTGAAGTAAGAGAATATGACATGTCAGAGAAGGATGATTTCGGAGGGCAAACGTGTTTGCCAATATCAGAGTTGAAAACCGGAATTAGATCAGTCCGACTTTTTGATAGGAAGGGAGAGAAACTCCCATCAGTCAGACTTTTGATGAGGTTTCAGTTCTCTTAACTTATACCATACTCGAGGCTGCAGTATTCGAGTGTATAGACTAGGTTACTGTTATGATTAGCTTGCACAGCACAAGGTCTTGAATTGTTTGAGTATTGGAATTTGAAAAGGTGAGAAATAGTAGATTATACAAGGGGAATGCCCAGCTTTAGGGATGATTTATCCTAAGCTAGATAGATCCTCAAAGATGTGGTTTTGAAACATTTATCCTAAGCTAGATATGTGCTGTGTTGAAGCAATGTACCACCTATCAGTGGTAACAATTTGCGCTATGTTGTAACTTGATACAATATACTATTCTATGAGATAATGAAAAGAGAATCTGAATCACTGAATGTTCATATAAAAAATCACGCTGGTATCTTAATTTTGCTATGATAATTCTGATGTTTCACCCAAACTTAGCAACATTTGAAGTTTTCTCATTTTTCATGATGTGATGTATCCAACAAAGAATTTCAAGAACAGAATACATTGCTATATGGTCATGAAGATGATGTAAGCTCTATGAATGCAGAATTTTTTATTTATTTTTTTTTTTTTTTTGGAGGTAAGAATGCAGAATGTTCTGTGTTTGTAAATCGCCTATTCTGCAGGACATAGATTGCTGATAGGTGAAGAGACGTTTTATATCTATTTGTATGATTTTGGTTAATGGGTTTTGATGAATTTAACGGATTTGGAAAATCTCATGAATATCCGAGGCTGATACAAATTCAGGGTTCAGAAAGGACAATCCTTGATATCCGAGGTTGTCTTCTTCATCTATAAAGGAAGCTCATGAGTCATGTCTTTCAAGGTTAAAGGCGAACATTTAGTGGTGAGTATGACCACATTCTCTTCCATGAATTCATAGAGAGTTGCCTACTGATACTTGCTGAAGCTCTTAAAGAGTTACAGCTAGTTTGTGCTGCACTGTAGCTATAATACATTGCTCTGACATTTTTTTAAATTTTTTATTTTGTGCTGCAGACACTTTGGGAGCTCGAATGTTTTGCTGTCATTTATTGGTAAAACTTTGAATTCAGTCAGTTGATATGAATGATTATAAACTTCAGTACTTCTCTACTGTATTTAGAAGCATGCATATTTTAGTTAGCTATGATATACTTCTTACGGAGTAATGTTTTGTATGAAAAAGAATTGACATTTTTTTTTTTTTTTTTTTTGTGATTCATTCCACACATCAATTTTGTTAAGCTTTTTGTAAGCACGTAATTGTAAGAAAAGGTTTGCTGATATCCCCGAGGGCCGAGGTATGTATACCCCTGGAGTAGTTTAAATAGAAACAAAAACTATTTGCTTATCAAATTAAACAGATAAATTATGTCTAAATCACATTCTTTTATTCAAGAAAGAAAAATTCATCTTACAAGACAACAGAAAATAAAATGCAATAAAACAAATAACATAAGTACTTAAATTGAAGCGACTAATTTAAATAGAAAATGTTTATTTACTGCTTACTGCCCCTCAGTGCAGTCAGTAGGCTTAAAGGAGACTGTCCCTTCTTCAAGATCATATTCCACCAAATAATTAGCTTGAGCTACGTTGCCAAAGATTGAAATATCTTGTGCTGGTACAAAAGCAAAGCACACCACATCTTCTGATACATTAATAAATGTATTATCCGGCCTCAACTGTATATCCGCCCCTGTGAAGTGTGCTGTTAAATTAGGAAGTTTAAGGGATCTACTAGCTTGATAACACAAGTCCAATGTCCTGGATGGATCCAACACGGGTGTGCCTCGTATAATCCGTTTCACGGAATTGGATAATTCGCTGTACGTATCCTCGGGCAAAAAGGTCAATGTGGTACCTGAGTCGATTATTATGTTACCCTCTTCACTCCCGTAATCGTTGGTGGATAAAGAAGATCGTTTGGAACTAGAGAAGGGTATTCTTTTGTTACCAATGCTTATTCCTTCTAAGGTAAGGAAATAGAATGTTTCGGGACTCTTTTGGACTAGGAGAGTGGAGACAACACCACGTCCTGACACTTCTCCTTTTGTCCCAAAATTAATTTTACTTGTGAAGTTCCCTTCAACGGCAAAGGGGATTAGGCAATAGGAGAATTTCCCCCCAATCGATGAGCCTAATTGGGACACCAATGAGAGTGGCCCGCCCCCTAGCCCAATAAGACCGGAACCCTCTTCTGAAAAAGTTCCAGAGTTATCAATACCACAACCAAAGGAAATCCTAGGGAATGAGGATGTGTTACCGCGATTCCTAGACTTAAAAGTAAAGGTTTCCGCGGCTACATCCCCAGAAGTGTGGGACTGGTCTCCATACGTATAAATGTACTCGCAAGTGTCTCTTCTACTGCACGAGCCTTGGTTAGGGTCCAAAGCTTGGCACGCTTTAGACTCGCAACTTTGGACTTTGTACGTGGTGGACCTTCTAGGGTTAAAAATGGGAAGTTTTTGTTTAAAACATTGAGTACAAGGTTGGCATTGTGTCCAAATAAGGTCACTTCCGGTATCAACTATCCCAAGTTGTTTAACTGGTGGAGTACCTAAGTACACCTCCATGAGATACTCCCCTCTAGCAGGCTTCACTTCGGACACTACGTCGTTAGGAGACACCGATGATGATAGGCTATATCGGCTGACTCGAGAGAACGAACGACGTATGGACTTCCTTACACGTTCCCATTTGTCTAGGGAAGGGTTGTACAATGGAGACAAAGGCGAGTCACGGTGTATAAGATCGGTTGTAAAACCTTGTTTAAGGGCTCCTAGTGTAGGAGAAATTAAGGTTAGGCTATTAATTAGTAATGAAAGTAAAAAAATTTGAATTTTTGCCATGGTTGAAGAAATTTAGAGAGGAAGATGGAATGGTTTGTTTTGGTTTAATTACAAGATTTATATTTATAGGGGTTAAATTAAAATTATGCATGGAAAGTCAAGGTAAATATAAAAAATGATCATATTATGTACGTCCATTATTATTTCCACTATTATAATTTCTTAGAATATTATAAAGAATAATTATGATATGGAAGTGCTTGATTCTTTCCACAAATGACAAAACTCTTTGATATCATATCAAAATTAAAATTGTGATATGGAAGTGCCTGATTCTTTCCACAAATGACAAAACTCTTTGATATTATATCAAAATTTATATGGAAAAGATAGATCATTAGTTGATTATATAGTATAATTTGCTTGATATAAGAACCTTGAATGATTTGTGTCCAAATATATATTATACCTAATTAATTAGTATTCTCTACGGTTTATTGTTACAAAAATAAATATATCAAATTTAACCAAAAACCTTATAAAAAAAGGATTAAATAGGAGAATGACAAACCTAAAGGAAATTTGTAAAAGTCATTAGAAAATCCCTATTGTATGCGGAGTATTTATTAGTTTATGTGCTTACTAATAATTATAAATCTCATTTGAAGAACCCTATGCTATATTATTGTGTGCAGATATACTATGTTTCTAACATGAATAAATTAGCCATGTTTAAAGCTGTGTTTTCTTTGAGATATTTACGTGCGCGTTTAAAGTATTATTTTTTCCGGTTGAAGTTGATTTATTACTTAGATGAATATAATTTTTATTGATTGAAATTGATCTTCAAAGATTGAAAGTGATTTGGATAGAATACTTATTTGATTTCAACTGAATAAAAGTATAATGTCTGGTTTTAAGGCCCCGTTCATTTCACCTTATTTTTGCTGAACTGAAAATATTTTTACTGAACTAAAATTAATTTTACTGAACTGAAATTATTTTTGCTGAATTGAAATTATTTTTACTGATTTTCTATTATATTTCTTCTTTATATTTACTGATTTTTATTGAACTGAAATTATTTTTACTGAACTGAAATTATTTTTACTGAATATTATTTTCTTAAGGTGACGTGAACAGGGCCTAACTAATTATGATTCATGGAACTGATCTAATTAAAGTACAAAGCTTTTATTTACTTCATATGTAGCACTAAAATATTGACCCAATATATCTAATAACCAAATATGTCAACTTTTTTATTTCATAATTTTGGTAAAAAATAGTTAGACCTTAATAAACATTAGGACCATTATTTAAAAGAAAAAAACACACTAAAAGGTGACTAGTTTGCCAAAATTTTGTACATGGAAATTTGTTTTATTTTTCGGTGGGTAAAGTGAAGGTTAGGATTCAACTAGGCCAAAACCTTTCACAAGTCAACTCGACTCCAAGTTAGCATTTTATGGTTTTTTTTAGAGTGTTAGGGTAGAAATTAAGGGAATCTCCACTCTAAAGTGCCTCTAGTGTAATTTGGTCCCACAATCTCATGATTGTGAAATGACAAATGACATTATTTTACGGTATTAGACTAAACATTGCTTGGTACTTTATGCATGGATGGTGAGATTAACAAAGAAACATACAAATTATATACTCCCTCTGTTTTTTTTATAAGCTAGAGTTGGATATGCACATTTATCGAGACACAACTTTGATCGACCATCAATATATTTTTTTTTTTGAAGAAAGACCATCAATATCTTTAATTAGAGATTAGTAAAAAATATGTAAAATTAATTTATAAAAGTAGACATTATTACAAATCCAACAACATATTATATGATCATATCTATATATTATATATTGGTAAAAAAATTATATATTGGTAAAAAAATTAAGTCAATGATGACATATGAATAGTGAAAAATCCCAACTTTAGCTTATAAAAAAAACGGAAGGAGTATCTAAGGATAATACAAGCTCCAATAATATAGGTCCTCAGATCAACTTAATTATCTTGACTCATTTCAAATTAAGTTAGTTTGATGTTCATTAAATATAAGTTTTGATGTAGTGAATGGTGCATGCAAATAGGTTCATATAGTATAAGTTAAAACACAATGAGTCAAATAATACAATGCCTTAAATTAGATGGCAACTTTTAATGATGGCTCTTGCGCGTGGTATATAGAGTTAGCCCGAAGCTTGCAGATACAACAATTGGAGATTCGGCTTGATAATCTTGCGTGTGTACAGATCTTGCAAAAGGGAGAAGCAGGAAGAGGCGAATGTGCTCATGAGATAAACTATTGCCTCAATAAGCTCAAAGATGACAGTTGGAAGATCAAAGTTGCTCACATTTATATAGAGAAGGTAATCACGCGGCGGATTGATTGACCAACCGCGAAGTCGTTCACGACACAAGATTATGTTTAATTCGTTCGGTACCTGTTGATCTTAGTAGTATTATAGCGGAGGATGCTAGGGGAGTGGCCTTGCCACGCCTAGTTCCTCCTTAGTTTTTGTTTTTCCTTGTGTTTTGGTGTGTTTTTCTTTTTCTTGCTGTTTTGTACTTTTTCTTTACTTGGAAT